ACACAGTTTTATCGGTTGTACTATCGCTAATAGCGCTTGAGAATATTCTGAAAACTATACACCATTCTGCTTGGAAAAACATTTCACTGGGGTTGAAATTCAATTACACGCTTCTATTTCCAATTCGTAAAAATGGTGAAAATTCAATTATCACAAACACACTTGCCTGTTTTCAATTTTCAATCCACAAGAATCTGAAAATTCAATTATCACAAACACACTTCTTCATCAAAATTTCAATACTCAATTATCGCAAACGCACACTTCCCTTTCTTCAATTATCACACAAATGCATCCTTTTCTCAATTTTCGGTTAATAAAAATCGCGAAACTCAATTATCGCAAGAACACGTTTCCTCTTTCTTCAATTTTACATTCACAGAAATCTCACTGTCTTCCATACAAAGATATCGAAAAGTGAAAATAAAGGGAAACGATCCACAACACAAAAGTCTTCTCACATTTAAAAAGAGCAATAAGAGTCAACCTACATTCCCAAAAATCCCACTACCTTATATTTAAAAAAAAAAAAAAAGAAAACATGCGAAAAGAGAAACAAAGATGGCCTGACAATCCACAGAAATTCCACTATCATCTATATTAAAAACAAATCAAATAAAATTCGTCACATACCTGTAGATGCTTGTTCAAATTATTCGGGTCCCTGTCCTCCAACTCCGCGTTGCTCTCGTCCCCCATGGAGGACTCGGGCTTCTCCATTCCTGGAAAGTGAAAATTCTCACACTTCGGCAGGGTACACTTGAACGCGTTCTTAAAACGCGACAACATCTTCGACTGTCCGACAGTCCGAAAATTCGAACGAAGAAAAAGAAAATATCGATTTCAAGGTGAATCTCTTCACTGCTAGAATTCGAGGCTGCTGGTCGAACGACCAAGTGCGGTCAAGTGCGTCGCCATCGCGGAAATACGACGCGGCAACGCGAGAACCACCGTCCATAGGGTCGATCCATAAGACGCCATTGATTTGCGGCAGCGTTAAATAATACACAGGTGGCAATGCCAGGATCGCTGGCCTCGAGGACTTGTTGCCGCACCAGACGCCATTCTTATGCGTTCTCCTGTCGTACATACGTTACTATACTTATAGGTCGGCAAGGGTTACCGGAACGTCATAATCTTGCGTATCGATTCAGCTGCGACTGCCCGCGAGTTTACGCGACTTGATTATTCAAGAGACGGAAAGGGGCGCTTTGATTAGAGTTGTTTCGAGGAGCTGGCTTTTTCAAGAGGGTTTCAACGAGTTTTATTGGCTTCGAAAGGTGAAGATACAAGGTGGTACAAAAAGAAAGGGTTCAGAACTTTAAAGGTAGGTAAATAGTGGAAAAAGAATAAACACGGGTTGAAAAATTAATGTCTTCAATTTTTCGCTTCTCGGTTAAAACGAGTGTGTGAAAACCAATGAAAACGAAAAATTCTTTATAACTTTGAAAATATTCATTTTTCGATCCATGCTTTTTAACCCTAGTGCATTCTTCGTTTTGACTTAATATTTTTGGGTGAAAAAGGATGTAATAATTTTTGTTTCCAACGCGACATATGAGCCTAGACAATAAACGTTTAAAATAACGTTAAGAAACGTAAACTCGATAACAGCAAAAATTACTAAAAATATAAAAAGGCGGTGGGTCAAAAAAGACCCGAAGACCGCTCTAGGGTTAAGACGCTTTGGTTAAATTTTTTAAAGTTCCGAAGCCTTCTCTTCTGCCACCCTGTACAGATAGGCGACGGTAGGAGTTGGATTGTTGCTAATAATAATGCGTCAGTTAGTGTTATGTATGAGAAACACTGCTAGTCAAAATAATATAACAACCAGATGTCATCGGACCCATAGGTCTGTAACTGTTTGTACCTAAGGGGCCTGGGTAATAGGCTGATGCTATCCCGGTCTCTTTTTCTTAAGTGGACAACAGACTTTCTGTCGTGCCCTTACGGGTTTTTACTTCACTTCGACTGCGATTTTCGAAGCGCTACGACGTCCTTCCGCGCCAAAGAAAATAAAATACGTTTAAGAGAATTCGCAGTGAACACCATTTATTTAGCTTTAGGTTAAAGTGTGCTAATGAGAATTGATTCCAATGAATTTTGGTCATTTTTAAATTTTTTTAGGCCTTTTGAGCTAATTTATTAGCAAATAATAAATTATTAGCTTTATTCCTATGTATTTACTTGTCCTTGAAGAATCCTTACAAATTTTTTTTGTTGAAAAATAATTAAATATGGCTGCTGTGGAACACGTGAAACAGGAGCATGAAAGGAAAAGTAGGTCCATGGTTACCATGATCTGAGCTGTTCTGCTTATCAGAAATAAAAAAGTCCAATTGATTCTTATTTAGTATGCATGTCGCTATGGTCGGTAGTAGAATAAAAGAAAAATATTGAAAATTAAAAAAATGGCAGCACTTTGAATACGAAGTATCCATTTTTTCGACTGTTTTTCTTCTTTCAGAGGCTCCAAAAATCAGAAAAATGTATATTTTGGCATAATTCTACGACCGACCATAGCCACACATGTTCTCAAGACATGTGCAAAATTTGAGTTCGATTGGTTCAGTAGTTTTTGCCATATCGTGGCAACCATTTCAGAAAACATGGTTAGGTTTCAGTGCAATTTACATTCTCCCTTGATGTGTCACACTAAACTAGCTATAACTTCGTTATTTCATCGAATACAACTATAAAACTTGAGGAGTACATTCTTAAAAGAGTTGTACTTTCGATATATGCAAACAAATAAAAATCGATTTTTTGAAACCGTCACACTAGAAGACCCCCTTAAGAGAAATTTAAGCTGTTACAGATTCTGAGGCTAATTGGTCTTGAGAAAAATTTTCTTCGGGAGCATTTTCAAATCCATGGAATATTAGGATAAGTAGAATACTATTGCTCACGGCTGAAAAGCAACAACCGGCCCCAATCGGCACCCGTGGCAATTTATGCGAATATGTATTGAAATAGTCTAGTAAAACCTATTGCAACGTGTTCTTAAATGCCAGTTGATCCATAAGGGCGAAACAATTTCTTATTTCGACGTTAAATAGTCGAAACAGACCAAAAACTAACGAAGATTCGCTGTCGCAGATGGTATTCAAATGGGTGACAGAGTGGCGGGATCGACTCACATCGCGAAAACAATCGAAAGCACAGTCCTTTCGTTTAAAAGTTATAACCATTGTAACAACTTACCTCCGTAACTTTTAGCCCCAGTCTCTCCTATTGGTTTAAACTAAACTTTAGACTTTTCAAGAGTTAGTTCTGAATATTAGTAGCTCGAAGTTTTCTCAGAGATTTAAATATTTCATAGACTTGAACATCTTCGGTTATTTCTGCCTTCTCTTTACACGTCTAAACTTGCACACTGCGGTATGCATTTTTAATCCCAACGTGTACGCAGTGAAAACTCCTTAGAAATTACCGATCAGAAACTTCCAATTGTCAGGAAGATCGCTCAGACTCGTTAATAATAGAAATAGCTATTAATCGTCAGCGAATACCTGCTCCCTATTTCCATTCTGTCCACATGAACTTGTCCTACAATAATGCAACATTGTGTCTCACTTCTATCGGTATTTAAAGAAACAATAACTTCCGGTTTTCAATGATGTATACTCAACTCGTAGAACTAACTTCTGAGAATACTGAATTGAAATAAACATTGAACGAAGTTTACAATACAATCAAACGAATCTCAGCTAATAACGTCTTATTGACTACAATAACTACTTTAAATTGGCTTTGATATAATTTCAAAGTAGCACATTCTTCTTCGTTCACTCGTTCGAAAATTTGATTTCTATTACTAAAAAGAATTCTAAACGTCGGAATAATCTCAGAAAAAGTGCACCTCGGAAAAGATTTTCTAACATACTCGAACACAAGCACGTTAACTTTCCTGGTAAAATTACAATAAACAGCGAACAAAATATTGGATTATGGGTGTTATTGGTTGTTAAATAATTAATAATCCTTATTTTAAACTATAAACTTTTATTAGACACAAGGAAGTAAGAGCACTGTCTACGGACTGAGAATGCTCCTACGCAACGCCCTAATATTGCCTACGACCCCGCTTGGGACCGAAGGGCCTTTTGTCACGTATCACAAACATTTAGATCTTTACTAAACAGAGGTGGTAAGGCTAAACGGATTTCTCCGAACGTGTAAAAAAGTAATATATACTTCCTAGTAAGGCGTTAGATTAATTTTTGTTATATCTAACTGACTGATAAATCTAACACAGAAAAGGTTAGAACTAGGAAACGATCAATTAATTACAACTACGATTAGCAAAAAATCCATTTTCCATCAGCCTCGATAAGAATTCCTCCGTTGCTCATCGACCTCTACTCCTCGACTTCCCTTTTCCAAGGAAAGTAAAAAAAAAAAAAACAATTTCAGCTCCCCGAATATTGGTAGGGGAGGGGGTGAAAATGTACTCACTGGACTCCCCGTTGGCGACTCGTGAACCCCTTATCTTGCCTATCGGTGTTTCTCGCACAATTGCAATCCTTTGTCTCGTTGGATTCGCGCGATACGTTTCGTCCTGTGGATCGTGCGAGTTAACTAATTTGCAATCTAGCGACTGGCCAGCGGTCAGCGCGGCTGCGCCAACCCGCGTCAACCCTCTCCGCGTCGTCCAACCACCCCAACGAAACGAAAGTGAATGGCCCGTCGCCTGGAGCGCGTACGATCAAAACGAGACACCGCGCTCGATACACGCCGCGATTCGAATGGAACTGTTCAATATTCCTGGAGTTAGTAGCACTGGTTGTTCATTCTTTCGTTCGTTTTTGTTCCCGAGGATCGTGCTACGGATGTTAAAGAAAGGGATTTTGATTAATTTGTTAAATTAGAGGCTGCTTGAGCTTTTTATCTTTTTACGATGATAGATTCGAATACTATCTCGAACTATTCGAATAATTCAGATAATTTCGAATACGAATTCTTTATTCGGGTAATTCGAATTAATTGGATAATTTCAATATTCGAATATTTCGTACTTGGAATTATTCGAACAGTTCTACTGTTCGAAGTTGAAATTCGAATTCTACTGGTACTCGAATATTCGAGTGCCTACACTGAATATTCAGATTTTTGGAAGTCTTGGAATTTTGAATGGAGAACAGAGAAGGTTTAATCGATTTTTTAAATACTAGGATGCGGGCATTTTTAACGAAAGAGAAAAATTTCGAATAATCCTTTAAGTGTTAGGTTAGGAAAATTGATTAAAAATTGATAGGTCGAAGCTTCTTCGCTATCGATTTGCTGTAGAATTATTGAGTAGAACAAGCGAGGAGTGAAAAGCACAGTAGCTTATATTTCAGTTCTCAGTTCTTTTTCACTTTAAACCTTTTTTTTTTCAATATTCTTCTTCGAAAAATTATTACCACAGACAAGGTACAGGATAGATCTATCATCTTATGGGACTTTATGTCTCCCGTTCTGAAATACCGATCGTGTAAAAAATCAGAGGTGTTGCAATGCCCTCTACGATAGTAGAGCGGTGAGTTTAGGAATTATAATACTCGTTTTGAAATAACGACAATACAAATGTATTTTAAAAAGTTTTTTTTATTCGTAATTGTAGTATACAGGGTGTTTGTTTTATCTCAATACAGCGAAAAAAAAAAAATGTTTCAACAAAAGTTGTTTGGTACGAGGGAGAAAATTACGTGGTGTAAATATTTCTTTTGTACCAGGTATGGTGGGGGAGATTTCAAAGTCAGTTTAATTTTTTTAAATGGAATGCTATTTTTTTTTTATACATAATATGATAGTGTATGTTAAGGCGAATCCAACGAGGTGCGAACAAAGTCATTTCCTTTGATAAAACAGACACACGCGACAGCGAGGAACGTAT